TCTTAACTCTTAAGTACAAAACATAAATTTCATTTGTTATAACGGATGTACGTCGTCTTGAATCATAACCTGCAAAGTTATTATATGTGGTACCTATTAAATGATAAATTGGCAAGAGAAAAGTCATATTATCTCATACAGAAAAAAATATGATGTCGTTAATGACCCGGCTTAACTACCATATGCTTAAGATCCGCACAATTTTATAATAGTTAAAAATGAAGAACTTTTGCTTGCTGCAAGATATTTTATTTTTATGATGTTTTTTTATTTTTCAAAACTCTTTTTACTCGAGAAAATCAAAGACATACGTTTTTCAGAAAAACTTATCTGTATAATATTATTGCTCATATCGTATTCACTAAATTTGTTTGAAAAAGTTTGAAATTAATTTACAATTACCCAGCGTTAAAACATTTAGTAATAATTTAACATTTAATTTAATACTGCAAGAGTCTTGTTACTTATATTATAATATTCACAAAATATTCATCATTGATCATACACAAATTTAATTAGAATGTCTAATTGAGAGCAAGATGAGTACGAATTGAATACAATTGTACTATAAAAATAATAATGCCGTTTATTTGTTGTGTTGTAAAAATATTATACATTTTGTATTATGTTTTTTTTTAATATTTGTATTTTAGTTAAAAAAATTAAATTTTAATATTTAAAAGCTGTTTACATTATCAATGTCTACAAAAATGAATTATTGTATTTTTAAAATATGGTTCTGAGTGAAACTCGGATTAGTAAAAATGTTTAACATTTTATTTAAAATAAAGTACATTTATTCGGTATATTTTTTGTTGCTATATTTACGGTTTACTTTTAAATAAATCGATTTCAAAGGATACTTATCTAAGATGTAATATTTTTTGTTTATAATTATAAATGCATATAGAAGTGGTGCATGAAACATTTGCATTTTTAAACGTCTCAACAATATTTTAAAACAAAATGACTGAAATATTATTGTAATATAGGATGGTAAATATATCGTATATACATATTATATTTTTTATTTTTTACGTATACTGATAAGTAAAAAAATGTTTCATTGAATCCTAGTTTGGTTCTTCATCGTAAGAAAATATTTAACTTTCAAACGTCATTTTAGTTATTATTATTTTCAGTCATCTGTCTGCTGTTAGAAGTACCAGTCGCCAACAACTTCTGGTGACGACCGATGAAGCTTATCAGTTCCAGTCATAGTCAGATATAATAATACGGCCTATTTATTTGTTGTGATGATTTAGGAAAAAAAATCCCAAGTGAAACAGGTGGCAGCTGATATAACGTTGTAATCTACACACTAAATTAGGCAATAACTACAACTGCTTTTCGGAAATTTCAAGTGCCAATGTTTTAATTTTTTCTTGAGATTTTACATTTCACGAAAACTTTGTGAGTATCATATAGGCTGGTTGTTTGTATAATATTCGTATTATATTATTGATATTGTTAAAATAAATAGTAAGAATAATATAATTTACTAAAATAAACAATAATATTTTTACAAACAAAAATTCGTGAATTCTAAATTGTTTTAGTGTAGTTCGATGTTTTTAGAACAGAAATTGGTTGAACATCGAGTTTGGGCCAAAGAACAAAATAATATTTTCTTTACCTTATCACTGTACATTCCGCAACCGGATACATATATATAATAAATATATATATGTGTATATTATATCCGTACAAACGTGGTTATACAGCAAGTTTTATAGAGTTTGCCATCATTATTGTTCAACAAATATTTAAATATGTAAAGTATGTATTTTCAGCGCCGACGTTAAGTCAAGTTAGACGATTAATATGTTTAAGTCACAGAGGTACTTGGGTCACGTTCATCTACAGCTTCGTGTTTTTGTTTTTTTCGACCGGCTGTTATGTGTTCTATTCGCATTCCGTAATTCGATTTTATAACCCTTTTTGTGGATGTCCAGTTGTAGGTAGTGAGTTTGCTACAACTTCGGTTTTTTGTTATACTTGTTTTCAAACCACGTTGTCATTTGTGAATGTTGTATTTGATTTGCACGAACTGTACGCAAACTATTTGAAATTCGACTGTTGCCTACAACTGGTAAATAAAGTTCAGTCTTTTATATATTTTTTTAATTTTTATTTCGTGCTTTAAAGTATAGGGTGTGGTGTTCTTTCGTAATAATTGGATGTTAAATATATCTATAATTATACTTGTAATATGTCATTTTAATTATTTGTAATAATATATTTATTTCAGGCTAAGGCGATTTAATATAATATTATTATGACTAATAGTTTATTTGTCTTAATTGTATATATTTTTCATCACTTAAATTTTTTACTACTATGTATAAAATTATTTCAATTTTTTTTTCCTTTGATAAAACGTATAGTATAATCTGGTGGAATATTCTTATTTTTGTCATCAGTTTTATTTTTTTGTTCTTCTATGAGACTAACATAATATTTTTTTCCATTTAATGTATTTCGAATTAATATTGCGAAATATAATATTGTGCATAGGTAGGTACGACCTATTATTAAAAATTCCATAGAAATTTTATTACTTCTATGGTTGAAATACTTCTAAACACATCTTCGGAAATAATAAATATAATGAAAACTAGGCAAAAAGATAGGTACGCAACTAAACCAAAGAGAACAAATCTATTTTTATTTTTTCAATTAATTCATTGACACATTTTTCATCTCCGTTACTACTGCAGGTTAACGTAAAATTGTCATAATGTAGGAGTAAATATATTAAAACATATTAATGTAAGGGTACCTTCATTAAAATATATTAAAATGAGACAGCAGTGGACAAAAATTAGACTGCTTCCTCATACCCTGAATTGGCGATGGGCACGTCGCAATGTTGTAGGTTCGTATGTAAAACAATTAGGGTCCTCGGTATGTGTTACGTATGTATAATAATATCGATACGTCTGTAACACACACATACACACACACGCACATACACACGCACACGCACGCACACGGCGCCCGATGGCTGAACGATATTTGTTTCCAGAACTAATGGCTGCGAGTTTTCAGGTCAGGTTTGGCAAATCCCCAGGAAAAACAACAAATAAAATCCTCAACCGTCCAAACACCGACGTTTTGTTCATGTCAATTATCGATGATCCCTGTTGCAAGGAGTGTTCTCCCACACACACACACACACACACACGTGTATTAAACACATAATAGGTAAACGCAGTATGTGTATACCCACATCCGTTACAAACAAGTTACAGACGTATCGGACATCATATAGATGATAAGGTTTTCACGTATCTTGTGTGTATGTCGGTGATCCGTGTTTAAGACAAAAGTTTAAGACTATAACCACATATCCCGATCGTCAGACATTCGTGCTATAATTCGTAATATTCTTCACAACATTATTATTATTATTATCCTTGTTTTTATTTTATTTTTTTTTTTTTTGATAAAACGTCTGAGAAACATTAGTTATAATCTAGAAATTCAGTTATTTCCATATAAAGTGGTTGTATAAACATTTTGAATAGGTATAGCGAGAAATCTAGGGTTTGACACGGAAATTATGTTTTGTTCTAAATTAGGTACATAATATAGGTATAAGTATAAAAAAATAAAATGTTTTCTCTGCAAATAAATGATTTTTTAGTGGTAGTAGTGTAGTAGATGTTAATGACATCGAGTCTCTCAGAAGTCGTTAAAATACAGAACACAGTATTTTTATTTTGTAAAAAAAAGGGTTTACCAATAATAAATTGAACAATAAATAAAATGTTTTCAAATCGGAAAAGTAAAATTGCTGTTTGTTTCTAATATATAGCCTATTTTTAATTACACTTATTCCTAAAAGTATTTTACCTACATCTTATTTTATGACTAATACAGATAAATACATTACTTACTTTGCTGTTATTGTAATTTGTAGTTCCATAAGTAATACATTTATAATCATCGTTTGAACTTACTTGTAAATAACAATTATCAGCCATTTTTTTTTTAATTGCCCCATATACCATCAAAACATCAGTACCTAAGTTAATTAACTATGATGATGTCGAAAGGAATATACTCATAAAAAAAGATATATGCTTGCATCAGGTTATAACTTATAAATTATAATATAACACTGTTTTGTATATATAGCCAAAACTATGTTGTCAATTGAAAGATTGTTTTCACTTACCTATATCATATCTAGTAACACAACCAAAATTAACATTTTGTGAAATTAGGCACTTGTAAAGAATGAACAGATTTTAAGACATTGGATCGTTAAAAATTAAAACGAATGTTAACTAATATATTATATAATGACTTACTCCGCTAATTGTATTAAAATAAAATATAAAAATGTTTATTTTAGACATCTTCTGGTATAATATTTCTATTATATTTATACAAATACTCATTTTTAAATCACATATGATAACATGAGAAGACGTAATTCTAACATTTCGTGTTCAGTGATGTCTCTGTTAAACAAACGGTTAAGATAATACTACATTTTCGTTCAGCAGTATCAATTTTGTACTGCTAGTTTTTATTTTACAGTAATTAGACCGACAATAAACTTTAAAAGTGAAAATAATATTCGTTTTTTTCTTATATATATATATATTAATTAACTAAAAGCGAGTTAAATAAAAATAAATAAAATATTACAATTTAAACAGTTCATAGCTTGCTTTAAAATTAAAGTATGAAAAAACCCGACTAGAGAACACAGATAATACACATACCTTCAAAATTTCATAGAAGGTTAATTTACTGCAATACTAAAGCTAATAACACAAAATGGATTTTGTTGAAAATTAATTGCCATGTTGAAAGATTGTCAAACACAACAAGCACTTGTAAGAGCTGATTTAAAGTGTATGGCTTAAAATATATTAGAAATCTTAATTAAAACATTACAGGTTAATTAAGTAATAATTTGTATTTATAATCATAATAATTTACTGTATAATGTTGTATTTTTCTCAAAAAATATATGAACTTACCGGTATACAATTAAAAATTTACATCCCTTTTGATTTCAAAATGTCTGAATATTCAGCCTGAAAACATAGAATAAATACATTTAAAAATTATGAAAAAAGTCATATCATACATAGGTACAGTCGAATGTGTAGATATTTTATTTTTAATTAATAAATCATAAAAGTTAATTTTATTTTAATAATCATTGTATAGATACATAAATCATATTTTAAAATTAAATTTATGTTACACACTTCACTATATAAAATATTATTAACTCAAAACAATGTGATAATTAAATTACAAAAGCCTTTCAAAACATTGAATAGTTATAGCGAGTTTTAATTATTTTTAGATTCACAAAAACGTAAATCAACGCGCGTTACAAGAAAACTATGAAAAGGATGGCGGACGTCGATAAACTTTCTTTACTTAAACTTATTTTACCGTGCTGTACAATAACCATTATTGTTATTTATTATAACATGCTGATGACATTTTTTCAACGACATTTTATACATTTTAAATTAATCATATTTGTAATAACTATATAATTTAATTTATCCTAAATAATGATGTTTAAATTATACTTATATAAGAAATTATATAAATTATTAGTGTATAACTGATTATGAAAATTAATACCTATAGTTGACAAATTTAACAGATAAAATATATCAAAGCCATTTAATTTTCAATACGTTATGTTTGGATACATCGAGTGCAATGTTCAAAAACTACTGATAAAAAAAGGCATGCATAAAATATGTTAAGTGAAGCAATTGTTTGATCATTTAGTTTCTGTAAACGATTTTTGTGTTGAAAGTTAGAAATCAAATAACAATTTAAGTTTAAAATATAAAAATTATTTAGTTTTGATCAATAATAAATGATCAGTGAATTGAGGATCATCTAAGTTCGTATTAACAATTTATTTATCTTAGGTAGGTAGGTACCTATAGGTAATTGGTAATAATATCAATGAAGTGAATATAGCAATGTATGCTTATGTTTTTTTGAATGGAGTTTTAATTAAAAACTTATTTTTATTTAATAATTATAAAAATATGTACAACTGATAAATGTAAACCTACTAATAATATTGTGCGTGCGGTTGTATTGTGAATTATATGTTATTATTTTGCATCCAATTACTGTAGTCATATTGAATGGCACAACACAACGTTGCAAAGCAAAAAAAAAAATCAATATGTCTAATTGTACAAAGATATAAATATAATAACAAACGAGTAAATTAACCTTTTATTATTTATTGGAACACATAGTATTTTGCTATTGAACTTGTAGCGCACCAAAGGCGGTCAGTATTTTAGTATGATGTTTGTCATTATGATACTTCATGACAATTGCATATTGTTATTATTGTGTTAGTATTTTAGACATAAAAATTTTTTTTTTAATTGTTTTTATTTTTAAAATTTAAGCATTCAAGGTTTTTAAACTATTTTTATGCAATTTTTTGTTCCCTAATAGTATTGAATCCGATACTAAGCATTTATCTTTTATCATTTTTTATAATTTCATTCAATTTTTAGGAAAAATAACTTTCATATTATCATAAAATAATATGAAATATAAATAATTATTAAAAAATTTTTTTTTAATAATTTTAAAATTTTATGATTTTGATTGTTACCAGTAACTGGCTACAGATTCTAATGGAAAATACCTATTATTACTTTTAAAGAAATTACATACAAAATTTGTCTTATTATTCATATTTATAAATAGTTTACAGTATATATACATCGAGTTTTATATTTAAAATGAAATGAAGATAATAATTGCCGTTAATTATTATAATTTACATTTAAAACAGTTAAAACCAAATTCATTAGCTGGTGATAAACAACGATTGAACCCTCCTTGCCACCAGAACATGGGTCCCAAAGACCAGTTCGTTTTATTTGTTAATGTCAACGGAGCAACCACGGGGTTGTAAATCACACGAGTATCTCGCGAGTGGTGGTGTACAGGGTGTTCTCTGCTCTTTTTCTTCTCTTATACTATTTCTTCTTCTTCTTCTTCTTCTTCTTCTTCTTCTATACGACAGCCACCACCGCTTCTCTCGATTGGATAATAATATACCTTTGCAATATCTACTCGTTCTCTCTCTTACCCTGTCTCTTACTCACTCTATTTCTCTCTCTCTCTCTCTCTCTCTCTCTCTCTCCCTTCCTCACACACACACACACACACACACACACACACACACACATACACACACGGCGAACAATTCCAAAGTTTCACACCGAAGAAATGTTGTTTATGGCTTTGCTTTCACCTTTGCGTCCCTATACATACACACACACACATACACACACCTGTGTGTATACATAATTTTCATCGCCATTCCCACCGGACCATCCACCTAAGATGGCGACAACGATTTTATAACTTGGTGGATATGGTACCTTTACCTCTACTCCCACCTGCTGCCGCTTAAAACCACACAATTCTGTGCCTTTGCTCTCTGCCTGAAGCGACTCGAGTTTTTGCACCTCCCTCCGGGGGCCTGCAGTCCACAGAGTTCATGTTATTTGGGTTTTGAAAAATAGAAAACGTTTAACGGTTGTTTTCTAGAAGTTCAGACAAATTAAGTTCTTAACTAATTTGTTCTTGACCATTTCAAAATATTTTATTATTGCATTAATAGCGTGATTTGTATTTAGTTATTAAAAAATAATAATAAAAATACATTTTTAGTATGTTATACATTTTGAGTACAAGATTAATGATGACATAAATTTTAAGTTATAAAAACTATTTTTTTATTTTAGATCGTATTAAAACGTCTTATAATTATTAATTAACAAATATTAGGTTGTTATTTCAGTAGGTAATATTTATAGTTAAGTCCGTGAAGTACTAACTTTGACTCAGGACTAAGTAGAATAGGAAGAACCTATGTTATTGATTCTTAACCAATGCCAATATTTTTAACTTATTTGGAAGAAATTTTGCTGACCTTATTTGGGGCACTAACCAGTTTCTTTTGATTCTATTTTCCACCCATAAAGCTTTTTTAAGTTTTGGGCTGAAACGTTTAATTAATCAACCCTATTACTTTAAAAATATTGGTGAAAGTTTAAAGAAAACCACACAAAAATATGCCTGCTTGAAGTAGCTTCGCCTAACTAAAAAATGTTTTTAAAATTAAAATGAATATTTAAAAATTCTAAAAATGATTTGACAACTTATATACCTATTCTTGAAATGAAATAAATTTAAATTATTTGTATGCATACAAATGTAAGTTTTTAAACTAATTTCAATCGATAATTTGAATCAATGTTAACATCATAAAATTAAATAAGGTTTTCAAAAAATTGTCATAAAATCGAATATTGTTTATAATGGCTTTTTTGACTTAATGATATTATTATTACCTGTGTTTGAATATTTTTTTTATACTTCGTCGATATGATTATGTGTGTATTGTACGCGAGAATTAAAAACATTAATGTTTATTAGTACTCAAATTAATTATATTATTTATTATTATTTCGAGTCCAAAATACATGGTAAATCAAATATAAATATAATTCATAATATTCATAATACGGTTTGATGGTTAGTTAATGGGTAAATGCATTGGTATTATAATATTATATTTAAATATTTTAGTAGTTAATTAAATTAAAATATAATTTGCATACATTAACACGACTTTTCAGTTACCTACCAAACGAAAAAATTGATTGATGTGTTTTGATGTGATGTGATTTAAAATATAAAATCAACGTAGAAAAAGTTTTACAAAAAAATTTAAATTGGTACATCTTCTATCAATTATATTAATTATACTTCCATTTAGTGAGTATTGATTGTATACTTAGTACTCAATAATCGATACATCGTCATCTACCCGGCTGAAGTACCTATGCATTAATTTATTAAATCAAAATAATTCATTTGGACCAGCAGGTGAACATAAACATTATCGGTTTCAATGGCGTATAATAGTTATTTTTATTGTAATCGATTTGGGGCCGAACGAAAAACGCCTCTTTTAACAATGTCGAATTATTTTCATTAAGGACCATTAATTTTGAACGTTCTGGAAATAGGAAAGACGCCTGAACGGAACCAAGGCAATAAACTAATGAATATAACGGTAGTTAATAATAATAAAGAAAAGCATATAATTACTAACAAACTTGATAGAATATTGGCGCCATTGCTTTCAGAATTAAGTTTTTTTCGCGAAACGTGTGTTAAAAGAAAACTATGCCATTATAATGGGGTTTTTTTTATGTTGTTCGGGTGATGTTAAAGCCATGTTACATATTTTATATTCGTAAATTATTATTTACTGTAATTATAGATAAAAACGTAGTATTTACTCATTTTCTAAAATATGAAATAACTACATTGTAAAACGTTAATATAGTGTTCGTAAAATGACAGTATTTTCCACGTACGAGCTTATTTTTTATACTTGCATAATATACACTATTCCTGCAATACTAATGCACAACGATAATACTCGTATACCTGAATATTTTTTTACATTTTTTGTAATACATTTTTAACCTTCTCATTCCTATTAGTACATAGTATCATTTTTTTTTTGTAAATTAAACTGATATGGTGTACAAATTATATTTATAATTCAATATTTTGGACTTCGTGAATTAATATGGACAATTAACAAACACAATATTATTTCTTGGAAATTATTTATCAAAAATATGTTTTTAAGAAATTTATGACAGTTATATTTGACTTTGAGTTGTATTTACAATTCAAATTTCTGAAACTAGGCCATCGATTTCAAATCAAAATTACCACAAAAGTGATTTATCTTGTGAATTCTACAAAAAAAAAGCTGGTCAGCTATAACAATATATTGAGATCGGATATTTCAACTCGTCTCGCTTTGCTCACTTCATAACAGGACAGTGATATATGATAATCTTAACTTTTAAGATAACTTCATACAAAAAATACACTTTCAAATAATACCTCATTTCGAATGTACCCAATCTTTACCTAATATATATAACCCGTCGTCTAAAATAAAAATTGTCCAAAGACCATTTAACAAAATGTA